TCGTCTATTTCCTTTGATAAAAAAAAATAAAATGAAAATAATAATAATAATAATAATAATAATAATAATAATTTTCCATGACTATCATTTTAATTTTTTAAATGTCACATCGCAAACAAGAGTGTTCGACTCACCTGTTCTCGTTTTGTGAGGACCGGATGTACGAATTTCCTATATAAAATACTCGAGCCATTCGTGGCCGGTGATAATAAATAAATGACCGTTATGATTTTGAGCTCGTAATAAAATGGAAACCAAAAACTAAAAAATAAATCCGTGATTGTTTCGATGGATGTGAAAAGTGCAAAAACAATCCAGTACATCATCCATTTCACCTGAGGAGCAAAACGAAAACATTAAAAAAAAACCATTAGCAGAAGGTGACTCCTCCTGCCTGCCTGCTTGCCTGCCTCCCTGCCCCGGAGAAATAAAAAATATGTGCAGAGCTCAACCATGACCTCGCGATAGTATGACATCTCGAATAATGAAAAATCGCGAGAGCAAGAGCAAGAGGGAGAAAAAGATAAAAAAAAAAAAAAAAAAAAAAAAAAAAACTTGGCTCTCGTAACCAGGTTTGAACCGGGTATAACATTTGTCTATATAAATAAGGTTGGTAACCTTGCATTGACATCCAAAAGCCTCTTTATATGGCAATAGATTATCTATCACTGCCCTCCTTTTAACTTTACCTCTATATATTTCCTTCTCAATTTTTGTTTTCTCCATCTCTCTCTCTCTCTCTCTCTATCTCCCCAACGCAACGTTGAATTTGATTAAATTTCCTATTTTTAAAACCTTAAAAGTTTTTTTTTTTCTCTCTCTTTTAAAAAAAAAAAAAAAAACTGGTTTCGAGCTAGTTTCAAGAGTTGTGTTGCGAAATTGTAAAAAAGTGAAAATTTAATTTTTTTTTTTTCTTTTTTTTTTTTTTTTGTAACACGATTTCGTCGTTTGTTCAAGAGTGAAACCATTAAAAAAAAAAAAAAAAATTAAATTCTGTTTTATTTTTGTATGTAATAAAACCGTAACCACGCATGATCGCAATGCACGCACCAACGAGAAATTATATATATATGAAATTACCCAACTGCAACATTGTAAACAAATACTACGCGGAAAAAATGGCGGTCGTTTTTTTTTTTCGACTGGTAGAATCGACCGCCTACGAAAACTCCACATACACACAAAGAAAAATTTTTAACGGATTTCTTACCTGGTCGACATAAACCGGTAGAAAAAAATTTTTTTTTTTTTTTTGTCATTTTGCAGCATCTCGACGCCCACTCATTCTACACTTAGAAAAGGCGAACGTCGCCTTTTAAATTTACAATCAATTTAACACGAACGTTTTCATTTCGCCCGTGGGAAAACAATAATAAAAAAAATGAGTAACAACCATTTTCTAATTTCAAATCCCGATTCCAGATAAATGAATCATTACTGGAAACTGGACAACTGGGAAAAAGACAACGATCGGGTCGTTTTCAAACGAACCGCGTTCGATTTTTCATAATTTTTCCCAATTGATTTATGAAAACGTCAAAACATATCAAAACAATTTATCGAAAAATCAAATTAACCTTTTTTTTTTTTTGTAATGGAAAAAAGGGCGACGAATAAATTCTAGAAAATTCGTTCGATCGAATCGAATGAAAAAAAAAAAAAAAAAAAAAATCAACTCACGTATTCTTTGACGTTTTTCGTTCGGACGGCTTTATACGAAGAATATGCTGGATATAGGGTTCCAAATAACAATCTGGAAACAAACAAAAAAAAAAAAAACGATTATTAAGCAGAAGTGATGATGATAAAAGAAAAAAGAAAACAAACAAACAAACAAACAAAAACAAACAAGAGACGAATTAAAATGTTTAAAGCGATGCATATAACATTTGCCGTAATAATAAATCAATAATTGAATCCTTTCCAAAACGTTTGTCGTGCCAATAGAAAAGTTTTTCTTTTTTTTTTTTGTTTTTACCATTTAATAATTTAAATTGCCAGGAAATGATTTTAACTTTTTGTTTCCCCCCCCCCCAGTTAAATCGTAACTCATTCGCTGATAACCTTTTGCAATTGATAATTCTGACCTCCGATTTTTTTTTTTTTTCGATCCGTTTACTGGTGGCACCAGTCAAATTTTTTTTTTTTTTTTTTTCGTACGCCACGTTCGAAAACGAAATAACGGACGCATATTAACCTCATTATCACGTGGAATTTTATTTAAAGGTTTTAAATGCGTTTGTTATATCGAACAAACAACGGTCCGATTGTGTCAATCGTAAAGAGTCAAGCTAATAATAATAATTAAAGTTAATTATATTTTATATTTGGAAAAAAAAATAAAAAAATGGCGTCGAATTTATTTCCATTCCGATTTCCTTTCGTTCTTTCAATAAATCATCATTTTTTAATTTCGAAATCGAAGACGTGTATCTTCTGCTGACACTCCCTTCCCCCACTTTCCCTAACCTTTAGCCCTTCGCAATTTTCTCTACGACTTGATGATGAACCAAAAAAAAAATTTTTTGAGGCGTGACAAACGAAGTCGCGCACGTATTTTTAAATTTTCTCTCTTCTTCCCCTTGATGCTTTTTTCTCATGACACGATATTTTTCATTTTTTTTTCCTTATAAACCCATGAAAAAAAAAAAAAAAAAAAAAAAAAAAACACGATAATGCTTCTACTCTTAAGGATTTTTTCTTGCGTGATCTTGATAATTAACGCCTTTAATTTTTTTTTCGTTTTAGCGAACGTTGGTTAAAAAAAAATTTTTTTGTAAATTAAATTGAAACGTTCGAAAACCCGACATTATTCGTGACAATTTTCTTAATAACGTCACCGAACCGTTCGTTCGAGAGTTTAAAATGATAAATTATTTTGAGGTCAAATAAATCTATAGATTAGTTTTTATTTGTTAATAAAACTAAATTTCCTTTTAATTTTTTTCTTATTCGAAATATTTCAGTTCGTAAAAAACGAGTTGTTTTCGATTATTTCGCGTTCGCGTTTAAATAATAATAATAATAATAACAATGAACGGGAAAAGTGAGAGAGAAATCATCTTCGCGAGAAAAAATTAAATTAACCTACGCTGTTGGAAAATTTTTAAATTTAATAATAATCGAGCGCCAGCTCAAATGATGTAATTTCGACCTTCAATAATAACAATTTATTAACTTCGTTAGAACTGTCGCGGAAATTATCGCGTTCGGACAAAAAAAACATCTTTCTCGTCAATTGGTCATCGCCTATAACAGACAAAAATTCCCCTTATTCCCGTTCGTTTCGTATTTGTAATCTTCATCCCTGGAATTTTCCCCTCCTTTCTATTTCCGGAAACGATTTCAGTATGGATTTCAATTAAAAGAAATTCTTCAATAACGCAAAACAACGCTTAACGTTTTTCTCAAACGAGAAAGTTTATAGCGAACGCTTTAACGAACGGAATGAAAAAAAAAAAAAAAACAATTTAAAATTTTTTTTTTTTTCCCCATTCATTGCCTATTTTGAAAATTTTTTAAAAGGGTAACTAAAAAGTATCAACGTTTTTTTTTTTTTCTCCAAAACTTCCAGTCACGGATTCGAACATTTAACAAATCATGACGAAACATTCACGATTTTCTTTCTACAGTTCAACACGCAAAAAAAAACTTTTTTTTTTTTTTTTTTTTTTTAACGAATCGGAAACGGAAAAGAAAAAGAAAAAAGTGAAAAAAAAACAAAAAAAGTTTCTTGCTTTCAAACACGTTTAGTCCTTTTTCTAATTAACAATTAAAACTTTTTTTTTTTATTTTATTTTTTTAACTCCACAATCGGTTAACTGGAAACAAAGATAAAAAATGGCGAAACTTAATTAAGACCTTATGTGCAAGTTATCGTCGCAGGTTTTGATTTAAAAAAAAAAAAAAAAAGAAAAAAAATTATTATTATTTATTAACATCCTGTTTTGTAACGTGGCGGCAAATAATTATTACGTTTTCAAATACGATCGAAATCCTTTTATAAAAAAAAAAAAATTAAAACATTAGTTTTTTCCTTTGTTTGTTTTCAAATTCGTTTACGAATCTTAGTAGTAGTCTGCTAAAGAAAAAGATACGAGACAAAAAATAAAATAAAATAAAATAAAAAAAAAAACCAGATGTCTAAATCTAAAAATAAAAACATTCCCTATGAAGAAGTTTTTTTTTTTGATTTTTTATTTCTGGTTCCTGTGTGCTCTCTTTCGTGTGACACAAAAATTCTAACCGATATATCCCCTTATTAATTTAATATGACATTTCGAATTCGAGCAGAAAAAAGCAGCCCCGGCGTGAATTTTTATAAAAAAACAAACAAACCGACAGCTAAAAAAATAATTAAATTTAGAAAACATATTTAAAAATATGGCGACGAATTAATAACATTCTTCACAAATTCATTTTCCGGATGTATTTCAACATTTTTTTTTGCAGAAAACCTCCTATATATATTGTTTGGAACCTTTGATACTTTTGCTATTGTTAAAAATAATAATTCGGGGGACTTTGATAAAAAAAAAAAAAAAAAAAAAAAAAAAAAAAAATGAGGGGGACAAAAAAAATTTAAATAAAGAAAACGAACGACTCGTAACACAACCCTGACGAATAAATCCCTGAAAAATAAATAATTTTTTATTATCATTTTCCCCTTTATCGTTGTTTAGTTCCCCCCTCCCCCTACTCCTCCAGTTCGAACAGACATGAAAACTTTCGTAACCGTTACTCGAATATCGAAATAAATTAAAAAAAATTTTTTTTTGTAAGGTAACTTCCTCCTCCCAACGAACAAACAAACAAACAAACATTTTAACCTTCTTTAAAAAAAAATTTTTTAATTTGTTTAAATAAGGCAAAACACCCTCTCTCTCTCTCCTCCCTCTCCCCACGCGAATTATGTAATTATTAAAATAACAATAATGACATTAGTAATAATAATAATAATACAGACACACACGTGTGTGTGCACGTTGTATTTTTAACAATGCCCAGTGAATTAAAATTTTTTTTTTTTTTTGTTATTGTACGCACCTCCTCAATTAAAAAAATTCAAAAAAATTTAATTTTTAACGATCAATTTAAACTCCTGATTAGAAAGTGTTTTTCCATTGACAAAAATGAAACCGTTTTTGAATTCTAATTCGAAAAACGATTGTCGCACAAAAAACAACATCAAAGAAATCAAACGCCAAACGTATAATTCATAATAATAATAATAATGAAATAAAAACTAAATCATCAGAATGACTACAAAAGAAACAATAAAATTTAAAAAAACACAACTCAATAAGGATTTCAATAGAGTCATGGATGAATTGTTGTAATAATTCATATTTATAACAATGAATGTGTGTGTGTGTGTAAAATTTTAAATAAATTCATTTATAAAATTTAAAAGTCATTTTAAAATGAATATCATATTTTTCAGGTTTCGATTCAGGTTATGTAGTAAAAATAAATAATAATAATAATAAATTGAATGAATTAAATAAAAAAATTTTTCTGTCATTAGAGAGAGAGAAAGAGAGAGAGTAAATGAAAAGATTTGAAAACAAACAAATTTTTTATCGTATTTGAAAAAAATTTTTTGCATTACAACACATGAATGATAAATATAAATATAAATAAAATCTGTACAGGAAGAAAAAAGTATTAATAATATTTATATTCATAATAAATAATTCTTTTTTTTTCTTCATTTTTACATGTTTGATACATGTTTTATCACAAAAAGATAAGATTTTAACCATTAAGTTACTTCCTTCGATCAAATCAAATTAAAACAATAAAAAATTATAATGCTATTTCATTTTGCATTTATAATCATAAGTTTTTTTTCTTTTTATTTTGTTTTGTTTTGCTCTTTTCATTTACTACAACACATAATTAGATTAATTTTTTTTTTGTTTTTGTTTCTTTATTCGTTTGAAAAATTTTTTAAACAACAAATTAATGAAAAATTATTAAATGATGGTTATATCTCTTTAATAAATTTTTTTTTTTAATATAAATTACTCAATTTCTTTTTTTTTTTTACCTAAAAGGTGGGGGGGATTGAAAACTATTAATTTTCATAATTTCATTTCCTAACATGACAATAAGAAACAGAATTCGAAAAAAAAATTTACATGCAGCGAATGATTGAAATGATTCCGTTTAAAATTTAATGTCTTATATGTACATACTTTTTGAAAGATTCGAATAAATTTAATAAAAATACTTTAATTGTAAAATTATATGTATGTAAATTCTCATAAATTTGTTGTAGAACACAAATATTATAAACTTAAATCATAAAATGAATAAAAATGAAATAAAACACCAAGTTTCAATTTGTGTCATTTGAAATATAACCAAACTTGCATTAACATACACATACCTGTTTAACAAAGAAATTTTTTTTTTTTGCACAAAATGAAGCAGCAGATTTCAGAAAATGTTTTTACCATTAAGTTAATAGAAATAAATAAAATTTTCAAATAGAAATTTTCAAACAATCAATCAAAAAAATTATTTTTTTCCAATCATTACTAATTGAATTGTTATATATATATATATAATAAACGAATACATAGCATTGAAAAAAAACCAACGAATTCCATCACAGGAAAAATTTTTTTAATATTTAAAGAGTGATATTAAAAATTAGTGTACTTACATCACAATGCGAGACAAAAGACAAGATACCATATTGCTAAATTATTAACAGTCATTCACCACAATTCGAGAACATAAATTCAGCAATATTTGTTGACCACAGATTAAAAGTTCTTTACTTTGAACTACGATTGCCTGCCATTTTTTATAATTGTGACGTAATAAACCGTTTTCAATCACGTGACTTGGGAACTACTTTTTCTATAGTTTTAACATCAAATGGTTTTCTTCAATTTAATAATTTATTTTTAAATAATAGTTTTTTTTAATTATAAAAAAACCTTTAATGATGAATGAAAATCGTTGTTTTAAACATTAATGTGCAATATTAATAAAAAGGTTTAAGGTATTTTTATAAATGTTAAATGTTGCTAAATTTTTTTTTACAAACTAAAAAGTACCTAATTTGATACATTTTTTTGGCGGCAAATAACGGTTATGCCAAAATCTCATCTCATTACCTGAAAATTTATTTTCTCTTACATACTTAAAAATTCGCGCACAATTTTACTGTAAACAACTTGAATAATGTCATTAATGTTAACAAAAAGAATAGTTTTTATTTAAATAAAGTGAGAAAAGTTTTTTTACAACATTTTAATACATAATTGTTTAAATTTTAATAATTGATAAGTATTACAATACATTTATATTTTTCTTCATTTTTAAAATTATAATATTTACACCTCTTGAAAACAACAAAATGAATTAAATAACAAATAAAAAGAAAAATTTGATTAATAACTAGTAAAACAATTTGTAGTTATGTTTATACTTAAATGAAAAATTTCTTTTTTACGAATTAACTTTTACATTAGTCAAAATTGTTAAAATCTATTCGAGGTTGATGAAAAAAAAAAAGTAGACTCAAAAATTAAAAATTAATGATTTATATTTATATTTCTTCGATTGATTTACAACAAAATTTATTATTTATATATATATATATTTATAAATTAACAGATATTAAAACTTTTATTTTATAAATTCACAACAGAATGATATTTTTGAATGAAATAATTTTTAGTTTGTTATACACTTAAGGATAAACTTTAGCGAGTTGCAATGTGATAATTTATAATCATAACTAAATCATGTCTTTATTTAAAGTAATATATTTTTCGACTGTTGAATTACAAATTCTTATTTTTCTTTTATTTATTCGCCAACATTAAGCCTAAATGTTTTAATTTATTTTACATCACAAGAACATTTCGATTAAGATAACTCTATCTTATTATCATTTTTAAACAAAATCTGGTGCATTCGATAAAATCATTTTTAATTTTAATCTTATAATATAAAGCCAAAAATGTACTAAATGATGTGTTAATAAAATAATTTATATTTCAAATGATATTTTAAATATGAATTAAATTTCACTGACTCAAAAATGACTTTTAATAAACGACTTTTTTTCTGCCATTTGATTAATTGAATTAAATAATTGTGATGTAATAAATTACAGGAACATAACCTCACAACATAGAATATCATGTAGCGATTATAAAAATAATTTGAAAACAAAATAACTTTTAAGATAAAGCCGTTAATTTTTTACGTATATATTAAAATTGAATTTTTTTTTCTTTTTTAAATAAATTTTCGAATTCGTAAAAATCATATAAAGTTAAAATTTGATTTCAATATAGAGAAAAAAAAAAAATACGATATGAGATAGTAAACAAAGCCAAACCGACGGCCATGTTGAAATAATCCGTGTATTCTGCTTCGCGGAGAAAAAAATGTTATCAGGTGTGGGTACACTTGTCGTATTAGTATTTCTACGCGTATTCGTTAAGTGTGTTCACGTAAATATCGAGGTCACAAAGAATTTTTGGAAAGTTATGTTGTTTAGTGATTTAAAATATTGTCATAAAGTGTTAATAAATAATCATGAAACGTGAAGAAATAGTGGGTAAAAGATTTTTAAGTGTCAGTGGTTTTGTTAAGTTAAAACAAAATAAAATAAGTGAATGGGGTTGGAGAGCAGGAGTTATAAGAGCTTCAAGTCATAGGGATAATAATAATCCGGAGCTACAGGTAATACATACATACATATATATATATAAATAATCATGTCGGATTACCAGACATTTTTTCTTTTCGAGGTAAACCAATTGTTTAAAATTATTATTTTATTCTATATACGAAATAATAACAGAAAAAAGAAATGTTTTCTCTAAAAGAAATGACGTAAACTTTTTGTTTCCCCCCATGTTAATTACCGTTCGAATGGAAAACAAACGTTAATCTGTCGAGGTTTACAAAAATTTTTTTTTTTTTTTAATTTTAAAACGTTTCGCGTGAGTTTTAATTATAAAAAAAAAAAAAAAAAATTCCGACAGCATGAAAACGTGCTGTTGTTGTAAAAGGACGTTGACCTCTTTAAAATAAACCGATTTAGTTTTATTATTAATTTTCGTTTAATCATTGCATAACAAAATTTTATAATATATAAAGTATTATAATATATTTTACCAAATCGATATTATTATTATTATTATTATTAATTTTTTTATCAAGTATATAGAATGTGTTCTCTCTCGTTTGTATTAAAAAAATAAAAAGAGATAGTTTTATAGTTTGTGTAATCATAACACACACACAAACATTCAAATCCAACAACAACAACAACAACAACAAAACATTCATGCACGTTTGTTTTCATGTACCTCAAAACATATACACGTAATATTAAATAATTTGTTGTTTGTTTTATTAATTTTATTTTTTTTCTTACATTTCATTTTATTTCACTCACACACATTCGAATCATATCTTCTATCTCTCTCTCTCTCTCTCTTTTGTCAAAATCTATGTCGATCAGTGTAAAAATGTGTTTGTTTGTTGCCTCTCTCTCTCTCTTTCTCTTTCTCTCTCATTAATTTGTTTGCAAGCGTAATGAATATTTTCAATGTTTTCTTATCGTTTTACAATGTGTTGACCCTAACGATAATTTTCGATTTACAACACAATATCGGTTGTTGTTTGTAAAAGTTTGTTATGTGTTTTGGGTCCTTGAAACAAAATGGAGGTCAATGCCAATACGATCGCGACGATTTTACTCATCTTTTTTTTTTTTTTTTTTTTTTTTGTTCGAAACTCAAAGAAAAAGAATAACTTAACAAAAATATAAAGGTTCAAAATTAAAATAATGTAAACGAGTTGTCTACAGTAATTATTATTATTATTATTATTGTGACAGGATATAAATAAAACTCGTACGATTTGCAAGTTTGAACTTGTTTCAATCGTTAATTACCTGAATATTATTTATTATTCTATAAATATATGCATACACGTGAACATAAATATTTTAGTTTATAGTTTTACATTCGTTTACGTTTACCTTATCAAAGAAAAAAACTTTTTAGAAATTTCTAGATTTTGTCAAAAAAAAAAAATAATAATAATAATTTTTCATGTCTTTCTTCGATATTCTCACTTACGAATTGACGACGCGTGAAATTTTTGTTTTTTTTTTTTGAAATGATAAAAATTGATAAAGGTATCGTTAAACGTTCGAAGAATGTGTCAAACGAACGTGTGCGAACGTAAATTATTCTATAGAAATTTCTCATAGGTATAATATTTCAAACGTTAAACACGTACGGGAGGGGGTAGGCGGGGGGGGGGGGGTTGGGAAAAAATCTGGAACGGGTTTCGATACTAAATTCCAGCGGGAAAATCGCGCGCGTTTTTTTTTTTATTTTTTAAATGAATTATTTTTAATAAAACTATAACGGATTGAAATGCGGAAAATTAAATAATAATAATAATAATAATAATAATAAATAAATGGCGACGGTTTTAAACGGTGTATAATAATTTATATGTGGATACCGTTGCGGAATTTGAAATTTTAGAGGCGTGACGAAAAAAAAAAAATAATAATAATAATAATAGTAAAAACGTCTGAAGATGCGCGAAATATAAATCAAGATGGCCTCGAGATGAGAGGAGAAAAAAAAAAAATTGCGTGGACGTGCGTTATCAATGTTGTCGTAATAATAATAATAATAATAATAATAATCGTTTGAAAGTTTGAATCGGGATAAATTGGTAATTCATCCCTTCATCCATCATCATATTATCTATGCAGGAGCACCATGGTAATAATAAAGGCGTGACAAAAAAAAAAAAAAAAAGCGAACCTTACGAAATTTTTTACCTTCGGGCTCGAGTTTCCTTTTAAAAAAAAATTATTATTATTACTCAATTCGCGATATGCGATCACGTAGAGATGAAAAAGTTAAAAAAAAAAAAAAAAATTGTGCGTGTGCGTGCGTGCGTTAAAGATTTTTTTTTTCAAAGAAAATAAATCCATCGTTGCGAGATGAGATTTCCCGTTAGTAAAAGGTATACAGATGGTCTCACTCACTACGTTGATTCTCTTCACAATGCAAAATGACCATTTTGTAAAATCATCATCATCATTATTATCATCATTTTTTTTGTACGGTGGGAAGGTTAAAAATTCGAAAAAAAGGAAAAAAAAGGAACCTGCTTCGATTGTAAGGATTTGATTAATGCCTTTTGGTGCACCTGCGGAGAAACCCTTAAGAATAGATGGATGTCAAGTATATATGATATAAGAGGTAGAGGAGGTGTGTCACACAAGTTTGCCCCCTCGGGGGTTGCATTCCTCATATTCATCATCATTCTCTTTATAAAATTTTCTTTCTTTACCATTATTATTATTATTATTATTATTATTATTATTATTATTATTGTTATTTTTTTTTTAAAAGTGAAATCCCTCTCATCGTTTTTATTATTATTATTATTTTTTTTAATTTTTTTTTTTTTTTTTTGTAACGACGTAATTTATTTGAAAAGTTAACCGCGTTACATAACTTTTTCGTTCCGATAAATTCTCACGTTTTATTATTATTATTATTATTATATCCATACAGGTTACAATCGTAATCGGGTCACACAATTTAATTTAATTTTTGCCTCCTTCTTCTTCCACTTTTTTTTTTTAAAAAATTTTCTTTTCCCAGATCCGGCGGAATGAAAAAAAATACGACGCATCGTTTTTTTATTATTTCTCTCTCTCTCTCTCTCTCTCTCTCTCTCTCTCATAGTAGTTTTAATGCGTTGAGTAATTGAGGGGAGGGGGGCCTTGATACTAAGGCCGACGACTACTACTACTACTACTTATGATTTTAAAATTGTGCGTCTGCGATTACGATTTCTTACGAATTTTTTCAGCGGGGGGAGAGGGAAACCGTATAGGAAATCGTCATCGTTTTTTTTTCGTGGTTTTTTGGAAATTTCTAGAATTTGTATTTTTTTTTGTGGAGAGAGAGAAAAAAAACGCGGCGTAAAGAGTCACGATTGAAAAAAAAAAAAAAAAAATTGTGCAATTCTGACAACATAATAAAAAATATTAAATTTTATTCCAGCTGCCCAGGGGAATTTTTTATTAAAAAAAAAAAAAAACGTTTAACGAACGGATCGATCGATTCTTGATCGATATCAATTGAAATATACATGAAAAATCAATTTAAAAAATTACGCACGTAAATTCAATTAAAAAAAAAAAAAAAATGCGTGGGAATTTAGGTTGTTGTTGTTTGAAATTTTCTAACTTTGGTAATTCACACACGCAACATTTTTTGGTACTTTTTTTTTTTTTTTTTGAAACTCGCAAAACTCGTTGATTGATTGAAATTTGTATAATTTTCGGCGGTATTATTCGGGTTTTTTAAAATTAAATATCAAAACACTCGAGTGAGTAATACGCGTTTGTTTGGTTCCAGCAGAAGAAATTTTATTCGGTCGTTTTTTCGTTTGTTTTGTATATAAAACCTTAGAAGAAATCATCATCATCGTCGTTACTTTTTGTTTTTTTTTTTTTTTTTTTGTAAACGTAACATCCGATCGAACGATTCACGATTGACCCTATTATTGTTGTTGTTACATCCATCTTTAATTTTTTTTTTGTTCTAGAATTTTTTTTATTTTAAAAATTGTTTATTCCGAAATAAGATTAAAAAAAAAACAAAACTCCCGGGTTTTGTTTATTAGGATAGGTTTAAAAAATCGAAACAAATAAAATATCCAGTTTTTTTTTTTTTTTTTTTTTTTTTCCATCATTTACCCAACAAAGGGATGTTTTACATACCCCCATTCAAAATTTCTTCTTTTTTTTTTTTTTTTCAAAAAAAAATTTCGAGAATCGAGTTTTTGTGTTTCGATAAAAAGAATTCGAACAGAACGAGTAACGAGTTACTAGATAAAAGTTGAATGAACGACCTTATCCTCAAGCTATGATCGACTTTCACCTACCAGTTCGGTTTTTTTGGACTTTTTTCGTGAAACAATCGATGATGATTATGATTATAAATCAATTTTTGGTTTATTGATTTGACGGCTCAAAGCTTACCCATAATTTGTTGTTGTGCAAAATAATGTGTGCGTTTGACTAATTCGTAAGACTCTCAATGCTGTTGATAATAATTTGATAAGAAAGCAAAGAGAAAAGAAAATTTCGATTGGATTTTCCAGGGTGTGTAGTTGGTTAAACTGACCTACAGGAACTTGAGAGATTCGTTTCATTTAAATCGGGTCAAATCCCTTTAAAATAAATTATGTTTAAAAGTTCAAAATGGAACAACGCCACACCCGTTCACATCACTACAACAGATAGAGGATGTGAAATTTTTTTTTTTTTTTCGAAACAAGAGAGCAAAAGTTTTTTGTTTTTTGTTTTTTGGGTGGGGCTCAACGGTGGCACTTTAATTCCGAACATAAGCGAAAATGTGTTTTTTTTTCGGGGGACAGGGGGAGAGTGGAAATTACTAAGCTTTTTTTCGTTCGGTTGTTTGTTTGGTTGGTTGGTTTGTATTTACATCCTGAATGAGATGAAGTTTTTTTTCTCGTCGAATTTCTTTTTTTTTTTTAACATGAGACCGAACGTATTTAAATTTGACGTGATTGATTTAATGTAAAATTATAAATTATTTAATGTATGAGTTTGAACTAACTTCCGTTCGACAAACATAAAAGAAGAAAGAGGAAAAAAAAATTAATAAATAATTTCGACGAATGAAGCAAAATAATTTTTTTTAAAATAACAATAAAAACAATAAGAAAAAGAAAAAAAAATTTTTTTTTTTCTTTTCTTTCATTTAAAATATGGATCAGCATTGAAAATGTACAAAGTCATCGAATTATATTAAATTTACA